GCACCCCCGCCATGCCCCAGGCCCAGGGGCCGTGAGCAGCCCAGATTTTGCACCCTTCCGGACCCGGCGCCGGGTACCTAGGACCCTGGAATCCCCTGGCGTTGTTTTGCCCAGAGGTTTTGAAGGGTGTTGTGGAGGGGGTGTGAATAGAATGTAGACACGTGGGCAGGGACGCCCAGCCGTCTGGGCGACGCCCCTCGTTGCACTGCATGGAGCCCAGTGGAGGAAGGGGGGCGGCCAGATGGGGGGCAGGAAGCGGGGGAGCCAGTGGGGTCAGGGTGGCACCTCATAAATTACACACTGGGAGGCCACACCGTGTACTGGGGACTGCAGTGACCCGGGCTGACCCTGCCTCAGGGAACACTGCCACTGGCGGGGGGAGGTGGGGATTGCAGACCTGACCAGGGGCCAGGGGCAGGGACCTTGGGGACAGACCGGCAGCCGTAAGGGATGCAGGGCGGGGAGGGAGGAGGTGTCAGTAGTAACACCTGCAGAGGAGCACCAGTGGACTTCAGAGGGGCTTCTGCCATCGCCAGCTACCCAGGACAGAGCTGGACTAAAGCCTCCCCTCCCCCATCCCTTCCTCCTGGCCGCACACATACCCCCAGCGTGGCAGAAGAGAGGGCTCAAAGCGCAGCGGGCCCTCAGAAGGCGGCTTGTGGGCCGCCTGTGGGTTATGCTCACAACTGAGGGAGGGCAGGCCCCAGGAGGCTGGGAACCCAGGTGTGCTGGTGCCACCTGTGGGGGGGAATCACAGGCCACAACTGTGTTGCTGGGGGGAGAGCAACTGTCCTCAAGACTACAGGTGGCTGTCCCTGTAGTCCCCTCGGGCTTCCCCCTCCCCACCCCCATGCCCCCCTAGAACAATCCAGAAAGCAGAGCCTGCAGCTGGGTGAGGGGTCCCAGTGGGAGCATCCTCAAAAGAATCACAGGGCTCAAAAGGCCCCGGAAGGGAGCCCTACCCCACTCTACTTGGATCCGACAGCTCCTGAGAGCTCAAGTCCGGAGGAGGAGAGTCCAGTTACGGGGGACGAGGCTGCTGGCTTTAAACCATACCCAGGGCCTGGGGGCGAGACGCCTCTTGGAGGGGCACGCAGTCCTGTCGCCATCTTGCAGGGCGCAGGCGGGGGAGAAGCTGAAAGGGCGACGGCATCCCGCCGCTGGTGCGCCCCGCAGTTGGCTCACTTCCCCATTTAGGGCAGCTGGGAGGTCCCGCCTCCCACCGTCCCCTCCCCTCCCCTCCGCCCCGCAGCTCTACTTTGCAACCAGCAGGTTGCCAGAGTGGAGCCAGTGCCCGCAGGGGCTGGACGCCTGCAGCCACTGGGAACACAGCTGCCGCACGTAGCTCGGCGGGCGGCAGGGACATCCGCAGCCCCAGCCGGCCTGGCTCACGTGGTCCGGCTCCCGCCGGTCCGGGGTCGCCTCCCGGGCTGGACGCCTGCCAGCCCCGCCCCACACCCCGTTGCTGGGTAGCGCACGTGCACACGTGAGTGGCAGGTACCAGGGCGCACAGGCCTCCTGCCCCCACAAGGTTAAGCGAATGCCTGCAAGATGCCAGGCCCTGCCACCCTCTCACAGTCCACTGGCCGGGATGGGGTGAGGGAGGGTGGGGGTAACTTTCGGAGGCTTAGACCCGTCACGCCCAGGTGCGGCCCCCTGTCAGGCTACCAGGCTGGACGGAGCGCTTAAGGAGGGTGTGGTGGGCGGGGCTTCAGTGGACTTGACCCTCTGACTTAGGCTGGGCCTGGAGGTGAGCTCAGGACAGCCAGAAAATGGACGCCAGGAGACCAGACAGAGGTGAGCCTGGAGGTGGTACCGTGCACCAGGCCTGGCTCAGCCTGCTGGGCCTTCATGTGGGAGAATGCCCCACCTCCCTAGACTGGGGCTTGCAGTTGGGGCCAAAGATCAGATGTGATCTCCTAAGATCACCCCTAACCTAAGGAGTGGGGAGGGAGGAATGGCCTGCAGCCAAGCCTTGCACAAATGCCCAACTACCAGATGGGCAGCACAAGGGGAAGGGTCTAGGTACGGGAGCACCCCAGGAGAGCTGGGGAAGGCTGGGCTGCATGTGGCAGATGCGGGTGGGGACGGCAGGGGGCTCCCCAAAGAAGATGGGCCTGAGCAGGCTGCAAAGAACTCCAAAGACAGTACAGAAATGCAGCCGAGAAAAGATGGAAAATTGATGGTGAGGTCCCAAGGGCAGGGCATGGCAGGAGGTCCCCCTGTGACCAGCCATCCTGATGGCTTTACAAGGACCAGCCTGTGGGAGGTTTGTCTGCTCTGTGATCTTAAATACCCCCTAGTCATTGCTGCCCCCTAAACCCAAGACTTACAACCTCCCTCCCAGTCCTTACTCCTCCTGTAGTTTTTCCGTTTCAACCCCTCTGCTGTTGCCACCGAAAGCTTTGGCAGATGTCTCCACAGCCCTCACCTCCCCGCTTGGTACCTGGCAGCAAACCCGATCAGCACCCCCTTCAAAATATCTCCAGCTCCCATCCCCCTAGCTCCAGGTCCCAGCTCAGGCCTGGACGGGTAGGGTAGCCCAGCAACTCATGCCTGGGCCGCCCCGTCTGTGTCCTGCTTCCCGAGCTGCCCGCCGGGGCTGAGGGTCAAAGCTGAAGTCTTTTCCTTGGCCTTGACTTCCCGGCAGAGCCAGCTCCTTACCCTGCTGGTGTACGGCTCCCCCTCCCCCGCACCACACCACAGACCCTGCTCTAGACCTTCCTATCCGGGCATGCGGCCTCTTCTGGGTGTGATGTACCCAGCTCGACCACAAAGCTGAGGGCCCAGGCCTGGCCTGCGGGGTGCTGAGTGCACCCGTTGGGGAGGCTACCGGCCCCCGGGAGGGAACGCAGGTCACGGCTCGAAGCCGCTAGCTAGCTAGCCTGCTGGTGAGTCATCAGGTTTACAACCTGCCCCCCCCACAGGTGGGAGCTAGGGCTACCCCATTCATTTAAAAAGCAGGCCACCGGCTGCCCTACCACTCCTCCCTCCCGGAGAACCCAAGCTGCCCTGGCTTACTTCCCCACCCAGACAGCATCCTCCGCAAGGAGGGCACCGGGGGTGAGGGGCGCACAGCTTTCACAGGCCCCCCGAGCATGTGTGTTCCTCCAGAGACTGGCTATTCTAGAAACAGGACTGGGGGAGGGCAGGCTCCGCCCCCCCCCAGAGGCCAGCTCCTCAAGCTGGTATCATTTGCCACCTCAAGGGCCATCTGGGCCACCTTTATCAGGGAGCCTGGGCGGGGAGTGGTTATCACCCCCTACAATGTTAGGGCACTGCCCCCCACCTCCAGCTGGGGCTCAGGCGCTGCACCCCACTGCTGGAGGAGGGGGTTAGGTGAGGAGGCAGTCCTGGCCTGGCACTGGCCCACTCCGGCCCCCCAGATAAGCCACCAGTCTCCGAAGCCCCACCTGGCCTCAACGGAGCTCACAGCTCTGCCTGGGGTAGGGGCGGGGTCTGTTCACTCAGACAGCCCTGGGGGGTGCAGGGGCGACTTCCTCTCTAGGCCTCAGTTTCCCCATCTGCCCTCCTCCTAGAGGCCTGTTCAGCAGAGAACTACCACTACCACCACCTGCCCCCTTGGGCTGCCCAATCAGCAAACAGGGGTCACCCTCACCCCCTCCTGTCCCTAGGTCCTGGGGCTTCTCCCACCCAATTCAGGGACTGGCCCACCTCTCTCCCTCCCACACAGGGCTCCCCCTCCAACCCCTCTCCTGGATCCTAATCCCTTCCTCATAAACGGATTTTCCTCTGCAAAGCTGGGCCTGCCTCCCCCCTCACCCCTACCCTGCCCTTGGGATTAAATAGAACAGGCACCTACTCGGCCCCCTCCCCACCTCATACGACAGCCTGGTCCTCCAAATCCACACCCCGAGGCCCTGCCCCCACCCCCTGCAGCCAGGGTGCTGTCCCCTCTCCCAGGACACACCCTTCCCTGTTCCACCTGACACCATGGTGTAAGCTGAGATGCCTCTTCCTCCAGGAAGCCTTTTCCTCCATCCTGCTACTGTCACCACCTCCTACAATATTCTGGGAGTCCCAGGGGACAGGGACTCGGTCATCCCCAAAGTGCCTCCCACACAGTAAACGGTTAGGCAAGGTTTTACAGGGCATCTCAACTGACAATGATCCCACGACTCTCCAGTCCAGGGGGCACTACATGATGTCTGAGGACATCTGTCATTGTCACAACTGGGGGTGCTCCTGGCATTGGGTGGGAGTCAGGGAGGCTGCTCAACACCCCACAGTGGTCAGGAGGCCCCAGACCAAGAATGACCCAGCCTCAAAGTCTAGGGGGAGACCCTAGACTAGCAGCTCCACCTCCAGATCTGAGCTTCTTCAGGGAGGAGGCCTGAGACCCCCTAGAAGGGGCTTTGGGGCGGGGGAACAGT